TAGGTCACTTACTACCCTTAAATTTGCAAGTGCTGATTTCAACCTCTAATATCTCCTTCATTCCAACATAGAATCCATCAAATAGTATGTCAAAACTATAGCATAAAAATTACTCTCTTCAACTCTAATTACCGATCCTCTATTGTTTTCCATACGCGTATGTTTTATTCAAAAGCGTTACAGTAGGTAAAAAATTAATACTTCAATTTTGAGTGCCTATATCTCCTTCATAAATACACCAATTGACTCAAAATTTGTACCAAAATCATAGTCAAAAACTTGAACCTATTGATCCTAGCCTCCAAAAGTTCAAATGCTTGAAAGTGTAATCCTAATCCCTAATATGGCCTTGAATAGCCTCCTTAAAGCCCATTGGTCATGATTTTTGATCAATAGGAATGGAGATTTTCATCATCCATCTCCATTCATCTATATGGATGCTATAAATTCTCTTTTTCCTACCAAAATCCCTCTTCAATGCTTTTCTTTATAAGATTTATATAATAAATGATCTAAACACCATATAAAATAAACAAAATAAGACTTTAAGGTTCACCAATATCTAACAAAGGTAACTCTAAATAGTTAAAATTTACTACTAATAAGATCAACTTTAAATTTATTATCAAAAGAAAATAAAGTTATATAAATTCTAATAGAAGTCCTTTTAAACAACTTCTTTTTGAGCTAGTAATCTATCCACATCCTATAACCAACAAAAATCTACTAACATGGCTTTTACCATATTGTTTAGTATATTGTGTATGATTGTTCGAACAAACCATTGATCCTTGCTATATGATTTGCATATAAAAAACATGAAATTATAGCATTATTATTGGAAAAAACAATTATAGCTTTTTGATATCCAACTTGAGTACAAGCAAAGACAACAATATACTGTGCCACACAGATTATTACGGAGACCAAACTTGAAGGATAAATCAAAAGACAAGGCACAAGTCGCTACCATTAGCAGTATCATTTCAGATCTAATTAAAGAGGCAAAATGGAAGGAAACTATGCAATGGAATGCTTATTTCAAGATAAATAGTGATCGATTGAAAGTGTACAATATAAAATATCAAGATTATACTCTTGGTGATGGCTTGCTCTATTTTAAGAACCAAATTTATGTACTCAAAAATAATAAATTCTAAACATGCATACTTCAAAAGAGACATGACATCCTAATATCTGGACATTTGAGACGAGAGAAGATTCTAGAACGAATCTCGAGGACATAGTTTTGCACAGGTTTTGAGCCTTTGTATGCTCTTGCAAGTCATGTCAACATAACAAAGCCACCAATGTAAGTTATGTTCGAGCATCGCTACCTTTGTCATGGCAGTGGATGTCCACAATTTTAGTACAAAGTTCTTTGGAAAGGTTATCTCATTCATTATGCAATGTGGGAACCTACACAAAACCTCACTTATTGCCAAGCAATAATTTGGAGATACCATCAGGAGAAAAATAAGAATATTCTATATTAATAGAGGAGAATTAATTATAACAAGGTATAGAAAAGATAATTATATAGACAATTATCTATATAATGCCCATCATAGAACCTTCTAAAAAAGAGATTTAAGGTGATAATTTAGGTGGGATTGACCATCTAGGAACATTCTAGAAAATTCAAGGTGGTAGGATAAGGTATAAATAAGATTAGCTAGGGCCTTTTCGAGCATCTGATTAGGTATGGCTTCAAACCCTTTTTGCATCATTTTGTTTAGTTCTGTTCTATTCTATTTCCATCTGCTTAGTTGTCTTTCATATCCTATTTTGTGTAGTTTTGTTCAGTTTTGTTTTGGTCTATTTTGTCCTATTTTGTGATGAGATTTTATGTTATTGTGGAATAGAAGGAACTTGGATTTTTGAAATAGTCTGGTCTAGTTTCAACATGCCATTCTTTTTTTTTTGTCTTTAGTATAAGTTTGATGTTTTATAGTCATGTAAAATAAGTCTTTGTATTCTTGTGGATGAAAAATAAATTTGCTTTGATGAGGTTCACAATCATACAAGAGCTCATATATTTATAAATTTTACAAGACAATAAGAATACCATCTACCTTTACAACCATCAAGTATATCCTCTATTTGCATTAAGAATTGCGTGCAATCTTCTAAGCATCTCTTCTATCCATTTATTAATAGTTCTCTGATCAATAAAATTCCATTCTTTGTATAATACTTCAAATAATTGTTGGGCTTCATGAAGTCTCTTCTTTCTTTGTAAAAAATACTTTTTAAAATATTGTTTAAAAATCATCCAATAATTCTCAATTAGATTGATGTGTTAAGAAATTAATAGCCAAATTAGTTATGTATAGCCACATTTTCTCTTGATTTTTGCATTCTTAAGTCTTTGGTGCTATCTAAGTCCATCTCCAATTATGTAGATGTGACTTCATTCATTGTTAGAATGCAAATAAAAAGAACAATGTAAGATTTGTGCAATTCTTGGGCAAATCACACAACATTGAGGCCAAATCTATCGCAAGGATTAATATACTCACTCTTTTTTTTTCATCTTCACTAATGCTAATTTAAAATGGCATCTTTTTGTAATGTACACAAAAACCTTAATATTATAGAAAAGAAGGTTTGTATATATTAAGGTGAAGAACTACATAAGAAAAAGATATAAATCGTAGGCTATAATGGCCTTGACAATGAAATAAATTCTATCATATTATTACAAACTCCATTTACAACATCTATGAATAAATTCTCCATATTTTTTTTTTCTATCTTAACCTCCAATAGGATTTCAAGTAAGGCACCTTCAAGTGGAAATTACTAGTAGAAATAATCTTATAAAGGCTTAAAAAGAAAGCCCAACATTTGCTTCTCTTGCAATCTCTCACAAATATAATCCAAGACTTTCATCTATTACCTCTTCTATTCTCTTTCTCACAATTCTTGTAATTTTTTGTAGACAACCTTTGTAAGGAGTATTCTCAATGTTACTCCTCCATGAATCCCCTCTCCTCACCACCTTTTGAACTCTTAACTTTTCTACTGCCAAAGACTTCATAATCTTCTTATAATCCTAGCATATTATATTGTGGAGGTTGTAAATCTTTCTATTCAATTCTTTCTTTGCCTCTTTCTGGCTGCATGATGGTGCCATTGTGACTGTTGTGAGTTATAGAGACTTTGTCAAGGGAGACACTTGGACTTACTACACACAATTGTACTTAATTTTTGTTTGCTATAATTTTCTCCAAACATTGTTTTGATATGTTCTCTTAGTAATAGCTATATAAGATGTCATCATGGTCTATAGAACTTAAGCTTGCATATTCTAAAGCTTTGGATATTACTTCTATACATTATTTACTTATAGATCATTGATTGAATTATTTATAGGCATAATTAGTATTGAACTAAGTTGTCATAATACACCAATCTTAATATATTTTTGGTTGGCACTTCAATCTTATTAAAAAAATATTCTAAGTGTCTAATAATCAACCAAATCCAATTACAAAATGTCCAATTAATAATGAATATAGTCATAACATCATTGTTGGAGCTCTAAAAAAACAAAATCCAAACTAAAATAATTGAATATACTAAAACACCATTAACATTAAGTTAGATTCTTCTCCCCTCAAGATTTTTTCTTATTCTTGACACCTTCAAGGTTAATGCAATCTCAACTCAACAAGTTGTTAAACCCCGAATTTGCCCAAACAGACCAATGGTTTTACTGTAAGATGGAATGTTTCCCTTTGAAAGTTGTACCATATACTGTGAGTGAACATTTTGTCTACTAGAAGTGTATGCATGGTCCACCGTGCTAAAAGGAGGCAAACAACTCAGTAAAGAGATGTTTTCCAAGCGTAGAGTCGCTGTGGTTGAACAACCGCTTCATACAATCATTCGACACTATTTATTTATTTATCTTTTTCAACAAGGCACACACGAGATACAGAATAACTCTGTTCCCAATAAGTAGAAAAGTAGAAAAAAAAAAAAAAAAAAAAAAAAAAAGACGAAAAAAAGATAGATACCACGTGACCCTCAGTTGGAAAGACAGTAGCACTATCAAAACTGACAATGAGGAGGGGTTGTGAACCAAGAAGTGAAGGGACATGTGGTTTAGCCCACCACTGAATAACTCACTGGGGTGAAATCCTATGTAAACAGGGAATACACTCAGTGCATTTGTTGGCTGCCGCAGGACAAGAGTACGTTGAATACGTGATAACCAACTTTCAATACAAAAAAATAACAATAAAAAAAACACCACCACCATATTGACATTTTTTTTTCTCTACCATTAAGCCTAGTAATACCGTCGTAATCCCCTAGAGATGTCCTCCGTTTCCTATCATATTTTCGGCGTTGCCAAATGAGAGGCCACTCGCACCATGCAGTAGAAGATGGAGCCTTCGAATAACACACCCAATTGCTGCGTTTTTTCTAAAAAGTTCGACTTCGAAGTAAAGCTTGGTGCTTTGCTGTCAAGAAGTGACAGCAAGGGCCCTGCATAAGCAAGCGCACACGAAGCCTATCATTACCCTTTCCAAAAGAACCCACAACCAGATTGCACGATCGATTCCGACACTTTTTCGTTAGATTATTTGCAGAACAGCCTGCTCGGTGCTAAACTATTTTGTTTACCTTACCATTATACTGGCTCGGAAGTATGGTCTTGGATTTCAATGAGGAATTTGCCGTGACTCCGGGCACCAGCGTGGATTGGAGGCCACGGAATCTGGTGCGAGAACACTGGGAAGTTGGGCACGATCGGTTTGATGGGTGGGGAGAAGACCGGCCGCCGCCATCCATGAAGTCGATGTTGAAAGCTGAGGTGGATCCCACTGTTCCATGATCGTCGTCAGCATGCCGCACTATGAGTGACAAGGGCACCCAGTTCCGTCGATTCTTTTCATCAGCTTCGATGCAGGCCCGTATTAACTGTAACCATATCAAACTCCCTTTATGTTCGCGAGATTGCACTCCTTCGCTTGGGCGAATAATCCATTTCTTAAATTCAGTTTGTGTCTTGTTCATCTTCCGTCCCGATTTTGTTTTAAGGGACAGTTTTTTTGTTTTTGTTTTTATTTAGAGTTTGTTGACTTTTATTTGTGGTGTCAACTTGACGGAGCGGAAGCGAAGATCAAAATACAGTACGTGCCCCCCCTCTTTTCCGTCATTGCTTGGCGACTGTGACACGGTCCCTAAACTCCAAAATCGGCTCAACTGTATTTATAACGCAATAACTATGCGGGCTTCGCTGTTCGGGATGACAGGCTAGACTTCGTGACCTCCGTCTCACTTCATCTCTGCCGCTTCAGAGCAGAATGATCCTTCGTCTTCATGAGGCCTCTTTTGTCTCTCGATCTGAGTTGTGGTTCCATCAGTGCTGTTTCTACTGGGTTGGCTCCAATTGCAAGAAGCATCTGATTCGTGGCTCTTACTTCATTCCTTTCGTGGTATGGGTTCACAAGAGTTGAAGTGTTTCCATCGTTATTTCACGCTTGATGCAGCTCGGGTAGTATTCTTCTTCTGAGTCACGGCTTACGAACAATCGTTGTATTGAGATGCGGGCGCTGCTTGTTACGGTGGACGAACTAGAGTCACGATTTACTCGACGACGAAAATTCCGTTTTAGTTTTGGAAAGTAGGACCAAGGGTGCGAGGATGTGACGGATCACGGCGACTCGGATATTGTAGGAACCGAGCCTAGAGTGGGATGGTCGTGTAAGTCTAGTGGTGTGTGTTCATGCGGTCTTGACCTCATGGTTTGTACCAGGTTTTCTTGTCGTTGAGATCCATTCCACAGCTGGAGTTCAACGAGCCTACTCCGCAAGAAAGAGAAGATTTATTTTTGCACTTTGTATCCTTGTTAAGCAGCATACGGCAAAAAAACTCATAGATTCGTAATTTGAGGGATCCAGGATTACCAAAACCTGCCTGAGGATCCTTAATGATTAATAGTTACACTCCCCCGGCTCAAAACGTCGAGATTTCAATTCTCTGTGGACCGAGTAGTTTATGAGAGCTCATAGGGTTTTGTGATCGCCGAAACTTTGCTGAATCTGTAATATCTGCCGGTGCTCATTTTTGTTCGGGCAAAGTTTGCGAATGATGTGGAGACCAGTGCAGGCTGGTAGAACCGGGAAGAATATGGACTCTCGGGAAGACGATGACGACCTTGCAGCCAAGGTCAAACCATTGCGAATCGGCTACTCCTCGTGGATATCAAAGGGCTACATCGTTGCCGCTCTTGCCCTTGTCTTGCTCACTCTCCTCTCCGGAGTTCTTACGACGGATTTATCACATTCTTCCGGAGTCCCTGTCGTTCTTAAGTACGTCAGGGCTTTCAAGTCGGAAATGCTGGACCTCAAGTCCGAAGTGGAGCTAAAGGAGCCTGATTCAGGTTCGTTGCAATTCAGCAATCCGTCGAATGCAAGTAAACAGGCCGGTTGTCACAAGGATTCTGCCAGGCTTAAAGTTTTTATGTACGACCTGCCGTCTGAGTTTCACTACGGCATGATCTCCGAATTCACACCCAAGAAGAACCAAATTTGGCCGCAGAATGTGAGCGATATACCCAAGTACCCTGGCGGATTGTATCAGCAGCACAGCCCCGAGTACTGGCTAATCTCCGATTTGGTCACCTCCGACATGCCCGATCGGTCCACGCCATGCACTGTCTTCCGAGTCAAGAGATGGCAAGACGCGGGTGTGATACTCATCCCATTCTTCGCGTCGCTGAGCTATAACAAGTATAGCAGAGCACCATTGCTCAGAGGCAAAAAATTGGACAGAAATCAGGAACTTCAGTTGAATCTAATCTCCTTCTTGAGCTCCCAGCCAGCGTGGCGAGCTTCCGAGGGCTCGAATCATGTGGTCGTTATACACCACCCCAATGCCATGCTGCACACGCGGGAAAAATTTAGAAGCGTCATGTTTGTGGTGGCAGATTTCGGGCGCTACGGTGCCGAAGTGGCGAACATGGCCAAGGATGTGGTGGCGCCCTACAAGCATGTCATTCCGAATTTCGACGAAGATGTCGACGCCGCGCTTTCGTTCAAATCCAGAACAACGTTGCTGTTCTTCCAAGGAGCGATCGCGCGCAAGGAAGGGGGTATCATCCGGCAGCAGCTGTACGAGCTCCTGGGAGAAGAGCCCAACATAATTTTCTCCAATGGCACGACATCGAACGCTGGAATCCGCAGTGCTACTGCAGGGATGCGCCAGTCCAAGTTCTGCCTTCATTTAGCAGGCGACACGCCGTCATCAAACCGCCTATTTGACGCCGTGGCCAGCCATTGCGTGCCGCTGATTATCAGCAACGAGATTGAGCTTCCTTTCGAGGATGTTCTCAACTATTCTGAGTTTTCCCTGTTTGTGAACTCTTCGGATGCGCTCCGCAAAGGCTTCGTGACCGATCTGTTGAGTAATGTTGGCGAAAAAGAGTGGACGAGGATGCATGACCGTCTGCGCCAAGTGGAGCGGCATTTTCAGTACCAGCTTCCTGCTCAGATTGGCGACGCTGTGCACATGACTTGGGAAGCCATTGCTCGCAAGGTGCCAGCTCTTACTCTTGCACGTAACAAACAACGTCGCTATGCCAGATCTCAATTTATTTCTCAAAAGATTGCCACTTGAGCGAAATTTGCACTATTATCCTCAGGAATCTCTTCTGCTTACGGCATCCACTCATCTATTCTGCATAAGAATGAACATGGTTCCATTCCTCTGAAAGTTTCCAAGTCTCCATGTTCTTCACCTTGTGAACATCAATCTGGGGTTTAGGTATTTTGTCTCACCACTGAGATTATCTGACAATTATGCAGCGGGCTTGAGAGTTTCCCATCGTAGTTCAGTAAATAGCATTCCTCCATCGATCTCCATCTCATTTAGGAATCGATTCAAAACAGTGATCAATCCCCATAAATATTGCCATTTCCCAATTTGTCGACAACCTCCATGGTCAATGTTGAAGGTGTTGACGGAAATAGGAATACTGAAAGTCCCGAAAAAAATTAAGGTCCAATTTCGAGCAAGTACAAAACCCTCCAAGATTAGAATCACAGTGAACGTTCACAGTGATTATTTAATTATGCCCATCTTGTGAACTAGCAGATATGGACTAGGCCTTATACACAGTGAGAAGGAAGTCTCCGATGCAGAGCACCAGCACTGGCTTCCTCTCGCACGCCACAAACTATCTACAAGGTGTGAAAGGGTCAGTTACTAAAAAAAAATTGATGGTAAACTTCCTCTTGAAAATTGCAAAACCATCCAACGAATGCTCTTACGAGTACCGTGGCAACACCCAGTGAATCAGCAGGCGGAGAATCCGCGGCATTCACCTCGGATTGTACCACGTCGTAACGTAGCGTGTGCATGTGCACTTGGGTCACTAAGAAAGCACGGTGAAGCATGTGGGATATGCAGGCTGGTTGGCAGGCAGGCAGGATACCAAATCCCCGCACTGAAATGGGCCTCAAAGGACACACACAATCACACACATCCTGGTCCATGATGCCACGATAACGGAGCCTTTCTCCAATGTCAGAATGGTGTTTGATGGTTATGTTGTCCCGTTGTACAACTCAGTTGTTGTTGTAATGAGTGAGCGAGTGACCAGCAGCAGCCGTGACTTTTCTCTGCTTTGCTCTGCAAATCGTGTGTGTTGTTGTTCCACGCCGCCTTGACATGACTCGTGACTTGGTCCACTTCTTCTCTGTTGCTTCTTCTGCTTGGTGTTGTGCTTTTTCCTGACTCGCGCATGAGCCTCTCCCTTGTTTATTTTTTTGTTTTTCTTCTTCTTCGCCTTCTCATTCATTCCGCCAATCATTCTTCCGTCGCTTTTTCTTCGACAAACTCCACAATGATTTGCAAGAAAGCAATCAACAATTTCTAATAACAGCTTCACGCCACATGGCACCCACATGTGCTTGAAACAGTAGATTATGTATTATATATCCTTTTTTATTATTAATATTTTTTTTTGGCACAAATGAAATTTGGTTTTCATTGCGGATAACCGGTACAGCATGTTTTGGTCAAAACGAGATTAAATAATCCCGACCTCAACGACACACGACAGTGGACCCTAAATAATATAATACAACCCCTAGCTGAATGGAGAGCTGACCTATCACTGGTGTTGAATCTGTGGGTGTGCCACCTAATTTGTCTGCCTTGCCGAGTGCACAGAATCTTGTTACTACCCCAGCTTTTATTAAACGCCTTACACCAACTGTCGGGGGCCTCCTCAGAGGTGCAGAAGAGCATTTTTGTCCATGCAATACGACCATAGTCACAAAAATTCCTCCAAATCCTAGCCATAATTTTATGAGTAGGCCAATCTGAATTGTTAAATACTTTGTTGTTGCATTCCAACCATATTTCCTAGACTGCCGTGCTACAAAGCAATGCCCAAATTGTGGCAAATTTTCCAAATTGATTTGGCAGCTTCTTCTCAAAGGTTGCATTGCGTCCAACAAAGAGTGGCATGAGATTCCTTACAGTTTGGTGTGGCTTAGAGGTCATGGAGGACGTGTTAAAATAAATGGAGGATAAGTTAGAAGGTAAAAGATATTATTTTAGATAAATTGCTAATAATCAAAGGGCAGTAAAAGGAAAGTTACTAAGGTGGCGGCTAGGGTTTAAAGTGGCAGCTAGCTTAAGAGGAATCTAGAGTTTAGTTGGATGAAAGTAAGATGAATGCTAGCCAAAATGGATGTAAACTCTACCTATCAGTAAAGGGTGTTGGAAGTGAGAGGCATCTCCTTCCACACTTCTCTTGTGTTTAACCTTGTTGTTTTCTACTTACTTGTGTCTTGCTTGTTGTGTTTCTTCAATAGGTTATGGGCCCACACACACTTCGTTGTGCTATTTAAGTAAGTTGAAGTCATTTGCTGATTGTTGTTCTTGTGTGGAATAGATCTTATGGTGTTTGCTGATGTTAGGGATTGTATGATCTAATCTTGTGTTTTGACTTGTGGAAGTTCTGATTTGGGCCTTATAGATCTTTAACATCAATTTGAAGGTTCTTAACTCTTAGGATTGAGAGATTAAGACCTTATACAAAGACCTTCATAGTATCTTTGGTGTTGTGGTGAGAAAGTGAGTTTTATAAGTGGAAGAACTTGATGGTGAGGTTGATTGGAGTTCACATACTTATTAGAAGCTTCAAAAGTTGATTTGAGAGTGTTTGGAGTGAAAAAACATTCATTTGTTTACAAGAGGGCATTCTGAGATTTTGCTAGTACAAAATTATTTTCGTGATTTTGAGCACATAGATACTCTTTTTTTTGATATTTTTTGATAGACCTCTTCTAAGACATGGCTTCAAGTGAGGGTGAAGGTTTGAGAGTGATTGAGAAGTTTAGAGGTGACAATTTCTACGATTGGAAGGTCAAAATGGAGCTTTTGTTGGCAACTTTGGACCTTTGGGACATTGTAGATGAAAGTGAAGAGCCTCCAACCATGCATGCTGATGCTAAAGAAAGGAAGGACTTCACAAGACGTGAAAAGAAGGCTTTTGGCATGATTGCCACCAATTTGGATGAAGCCAACTTTTCTCACATCATTTCTTATAAAGGACTAGCAGAAGCATAGAAGACTCTTTGCAACATATATGAGAGTAAGAACTTGTCCAATATCATCTTCACAAAGAGAAAATTCTTCACTTGCAAGATGGAAGAAGGTGAAAACATCATGGCTCATGTCAATAAGGTAAAGGTCCTTGCTAATTAACTTGAAATTATTGACAAGCCTTTTGAAGAGAGTGATATTATCATAACCTTGCTTATAAGCCTTCCCGAGTCCTACAACTATCTCATTGTGGCATTGGAGTCCATCAAGCTAAAAGAACTCACAGTGGATTATGTGATGACAAGACTTGCCCATGAAGTGACCAAGAGGAAAGAAAAAGAATCCCAAAGTGAGGATTCGGCTCTCTTTTCAAGACAAGGCAAAAGGAGTCATTCTAACCAACGTGCTATTGTAAAAACTTGCTTCATTTGTGGAAAATCAAGTCACTTTGTTCGAAATTGCTAGAAGGCTAAGAAAGGAGATAGAGAAAGTGTAAAAAAATGCTCGTAATGAATATGGAGGTGATGATTATGTATTCATGGCAAGTGAAGGCACTTTCATGACTGCCATATCCAAGTAGATCATTGATTCTAGTGCCACCAAGTACATGACTGTATACAAGTGTTCATTTGATATTTATGAAGAGATTTCAATAGCAAATATCCTCATGGGAGACAATGGCATAGTACAAGCTATTGGAATGGGCTCCATTGTTATAGAGATTGTTGTAAAAGGCCAAACCAAGAAGATCAGATTGAAGGAAGTCTTACATGTACCAAAGATGAAGAAAAACCTCCTCTCAATGAATAAACTTGTTTCACATGATTGTAAAGTGTAATTTGATAAGAATGGGTGTTTTTTGAAGACACTCGAAGGAGATCATATTGCAAAGGGCTTTAGAGATGGCAACCTCTACCTCATCAAGTATAAGAAGATGAATGGAGTTGAAGTGGCGAGATTCACTGAATTTCTTCAAGATCAAGATAAGTTTGGCATTTGACATCGACGCTTTGGTCATTTGAATGCCAAGAGCATGAAGGAGCTCCAATCCATAGTAAGTGGCTTAAATCTTGGTCATATAAGCCACAATGCTATGACACTTGCTTATGAAGGTTGTATTTAAGGCAAACAACAAAGGGCCTCATTTCCAAGTGGAGTTGCAACACGTACAACCAAGTTATTAGAGATTATCTATTCTGATGTTTGTGGACCTATGAGGATGCCATCAATAAGAGGTGCATGGTATTTTGTCACATTCATTGATGACTTTTCAAAGAAGGTGTGGATTTTCATCCTCAAAGCAAAGAGTGAGTGTTTCATAAGGTTTAAAGAATTTAAGGCACTTGTGGAGAAGTAATGTGAATGCAAAATCAAGGTATTGCGTACGAACAATGGAAGTAAGTATATGTCAAAGCAATTCAATGATTTCTTGAAGATGCATGGTATTGCAAGACAAACCTCCTGTCAAGGACAAGAACTCGATGAAAAAATAATTCAGACAAGTGAACCTTCACTCAAAGAGAGGTGACAAAATATATATAAACAAGTATATATATTGAAAGAGAAATTCGAATGGCTATTGCCAAAAGACAAGAAAACTAGAAACCCTTGAAACTAGACTAGAAGCAAGAAAGGAGTTGACAAGAGTGAAGAAGCCTTCACTCTTGTCTCTATATATACTATCTAATTAGGGGCTACGTGGCGACGTTCTATAGGACCTCCAATATGTGTTGACTTTGTAGGACACATGCCTTGACTTACAAGGCAAGTTTTTCTACGTGTTGGCCACATAGTTAGCTTGATCTTCAAGCTAACAACATGTGTGGCACATGACCAACTTGTTGACCACGTTTCTAATCCAAAAAGTCAATTAAAGACACCTATGAAGTCAAAGCAGCGTCTAAGAAGCTTCTAAGAAGCTACCATATTAAATATTATAGAATTAACCTACTTTTATCTACTTTTACTTACTTCTACCTATTTTTATATGTAATTATTAGCTTATATGATTATAGCCGTGACATTACCCCCCCTTCTAGGAACGAGTTCCACGAGAAGCGGTCATCATATGTTGAGAAATCTATGATGCGACGAATTGTATTCGCCACATACTCTGATCTCTGTTCTCTTCGAAGATGATTGATAGGGCCTCTTAACGATCGGTAGTGTCCCATACCAAGGCGGGAAGACCACCCAGTTATTTGATCCTTATTGAGGCCTTCGTAACTTCCTTCGAATAGCATATTTGGAACACTATCAGGAGTTGTTCCTACCTCTAGCAAAATCACCAAACATCGGGAGTCCCTTCCCAAATCGTGATACCAAACGCGTTGTATCTCACCATCTATTCGAGGAAGAACATGTCGTTCTTGAAGATCTTCATCTCGATTGCGTCGTCTTGAAGGTTGTGACAATCATAATGTCTCATCCGGTAGGTCAGCAAATGAA